CACACCATTCTCTGAAACCACAAGTTTTCATTTTAAGGACTCGAAAATCAAAGAATCAACTCTTTTTTCTTTTAAGATTTTATTTATTTATTTATTTTTAGACACAGGGAAAGAGAGGGAGATGGAGAAGGAGAGAAACATCAATGTGTGGTTGCTTATCACGTGCCCTCTACTGGGGACCTGGCTTGCAACCCACGCACGTGCCCTGACCGGGAATCAAACCAGCGACCCTTTGGTTTGCAGGCTGGCGCTCAATGCCACATCAGCCAGGGCAGAGAATCAACTCTTGATTATGGGAAAGATTCACTTTCCAGGTTGTTTTAAAAAATTCCTTGTTTCTATTTTACTTGTGTTTGGACAATGTCTGTGTGCCACAGCACCTCTAGGGAGGAGTGTGCAGGTAAACACTGGATTACATTAATATCAATCAACTTCGGAATTTGTTAGAAGTTCCACTTGGAAAGTCGACATAGAAATTTAATTCTTGATTAAAATTGTATTTCTGAAATGCTTGAACTTCTATGATACATTCAATTTCTAACATCAAAAATAATCAAGACTCAAAGACTAGTCCTTGACCAGGGAGCTCAGCTTGTCAGTGTCACTCCCATATGCCAAGGTTGCAGGTTTGATCCCCAGTCAGGGCCTGAGTTGCTGGCCAGGTGCCCAGCTGGGGGGAAGCAAAAGGCAGCCAACTGACATTTCTCGGGCACATCCATCTTTCTCTCCCTCTCTCTAAAAATAAATAAAATCCTAAAAAAAAAAACAAACCCCAAAAACCTTTGTGCTAAATGAAATACGCCAGACACAAAAGACAAAAATATTCTAAGATTCCAGTTACACGAATCACCTAGAACAGGCAAATTCACAGACAGAAAGTAAACTTGAGAGGTTACCAGGAGCTAGTGGGAAAAGAGAATGGGGCTTTATCAGTTAATGGTTACAAAGTTTAAAAAGTTTTTTTTATTCTAGAGAGAGGGGAAAGAGGGGGAAGAGAGGGAAAGAGGGAGAGAAACACCAGTGTGAGAGAGAAACATCTGACTGGTTGCCTTTTGCACGCATGCACCCCAACCACGGACCAAACCAGCAACTCAGACATGTGCTCTGGGAATCGATCCCCAGGACCTTTCAATTTGCAGGACAATGCCCAACCAACCAGTTTTTAGAAGAAGATGGCGGTGACAGTACAATACTGTGAATATACTCTTAAAATGGATTTCAGGGACCTAACCCTAAAACCTAAAATTTTAAAACTTCCAGAAGAAATAGTAGGAAAAAAGCTTTATAGTTTCGGCGTTGGCAATGCTTTTTTTAGATATAAGACCAAAAACACAGGCAACAAAATAAAAAAATGAATGAGACTACATCAAAGTTAAAAAATATTAAGTTTTTAAATGACAGTGAAAAAGCAACCTACAGAATGGAAGAAATTATGTGCAAATCATATATTAATACGGGGTTAATAATCCCAAATATAGAAAAAACTGCAGCTCGCCCTGTCTGGTATAGCTCAGTGGATTGAGCACAGGCCTGTGAACCAGAGGACTGAGGTTCAATTCCCAGTCAGGGCACATGCCTGGGTTGCAGGCTAGTTCCCAGAAGGGGACACACAAGAAGCAACTATACATTGACATTTCTCTCCCTCTCTCCTTTCATTCCCCTCTAAAGATAAATAAATAAAATCTTAAAACAAAACAAAATAAAAAAACCCTGCAACTCAACAACAACAAAAATCAAACAATCTGATTTAAAAATGGGCAAGGACCTGAACAAACATTTCTGCAAAGCCACTGGCCAACAAGCATAAGAGAAAATGCTCAACATCATTACAGAGAAATGCATTATCAAAACTACAATGAGCCCTGACTCTGTGGCTCACTTGGCTGGACGTCATCCTGCAAAGCAAAGATTGTCGGTTTGATTCATGGTCAGAGCACACACCTAGGTTGCGAGTTTGGTTCCCAATCCGAGGATCAGTGTTTCTCTCCCTCTCTTTCACCCTCCCTTCTCCTCTAAAAATAAATAAAGAAATAAATAAAATCTTTAAAGTAAACACACAAACAATGAGATGTTTATCACCTCACACCTATTAGGATAGCAACTCTTTAAAAAAACAGAAAATAAAAGTTGGCAAGGATATGGAAATATTAGCGCCCTTGTGCTGTTGGCAAGATCGTAAACTTTCAGATTTGCAAGATAAAAATTCTGTAGACATTTCCCAACAATCGGTAGAATTGACTTAATGCCACAGAACTATACACACAAAATGTTAAGATGGTGAAGTTTATATTATGTAATTTTTACCACATAAAAAGGCAAATATAAAAACTGGTTAAAATAGCAAGCTTTTGGTATGTATTTCAATTTTAAAACAATTTACTATATCAAAAACCACTGAGTTATGTGAATTAAACTTCAATAAAGCTGTTTTTTAAAAAAGGCAGAGGAAACAGCAATTTGTTGGGGCAGCCAAAGCCTTGAGCAGAGAGGAGCCTAATGTTTCTATCTCACCCTGGCCTCTAGGTGACAGCTCTTCTCTTTCCCTGATAAGCCCACCACCAACCCTCCAGCCCCCCACTTCCTTATTAGGTCCGGCCTCACAGTCAAATTAAGTTGAAGAAGCTGCAGGGACAGTTACAGAAAAGGTCACAGAATTCAGGACCCATACTCCACATTTCTTTAGCAAAAAGCCCAAAACTTTATTAAAAAAAACAAAAAACAAAAAAACACAGTAGACATAAAAAATGCCCTTCCCCTCCTCTTCCAGCTCAGCACAAGTTTAAAAGAGCCACTCCCCTGCCCCTGTGCTGGACTATCCATGGCCCCACCTCACATGTGCTGGAGCTGTTAAATGCAGAGCAACATCTAAAGGTGACTGTTCAACTATGCTTATTGCCTATTACTAAATCTTAAAAACACAACACAAAACTGTTACTTGGATAAGTCTCTTTAGGTAAAATAAGAAACACTTCTATAGCATATAAAAAGGGTAAGATAAAGAACCTGTAACTTCTGTAATAAGAAAATAGGTAGGAATTTTATACATTAAACAAACCATCTGACTCAAAGTTTCACTGTATGCCTCTGGTGGCACAGGCACTCGCACGCACGGGCCACAGCTGGCAGTGGAGCAGCACCATGTGCGAGGGAGACACCATGTCCTCCATTTTGCAGATGAGAAGGAGCTGAGTGAGGCACAGAGCAGTCACTTGGGCTGTACAGCTAGTGCCCGATGGGGCAAGGCTTGCAATCCAGGCCTTGGCACTTCGGTCTCAGGGCCCTTTCCTTTCCATTTCACATCTTCACGGGCAATGTGCAAGAGATTGTTTTTTAAAAATCTGTGACGAGGCTGTTTTAAGAGCACTTGCTATGTAACCTTGGGCAAAGTCACTTAACCTCTGGGAACCTTAGTTTCCTTATGTAAGGAAACCTCAGTAAAGCGAAGGAGCTGGGAAAAATATTCTATCTCTAAGAGGCCCACCTGCTCGTGGATTTTAAGCGCGGACACTAAGAGTGTGTAGGAGGAAAAACCGCAAGGGCAAGAATGAATGGTGGGAGAGACGGTTAAGGCCTATGCCCTGGGCCAAAAGTCACTCTTAATGGAAACAGGTGGCCATAGTCAAAAGGAAAGAACCATGGGGGGAACCATAAACTTCCTGGCCAAAGCAACAGCTGAAAAGTTCCAGATTCCACCTTCGCTAACTCACGATCAGAAACCACGTACTATGAAGTTAGAAGACGATAAAAAAAAACCGGCCCGCAGGAGGTGGGGTGAGGGTAGCACCAGTTTTGCATTCTATGCTAACTTTGTGATTTTCCACGTGGGTTCATGCCTGTTAAAACAGAAAGAGCCCTGGGCGATTCTAAGTGGAGACACCGTCCACACCAAGCATTTCAGGAGAGACTGAAACTGGCAGAGCGCTCTAGGAAATTCCACACTTGCACGGAGAGGGCAAAAGAATGCGACAAAAACCTCCCCATTCCACAAAGAGAAGCAAAGACAAGGAAAAGCCTTTAATTTAAAGGTTAAGTTCCCGTCAAGGAGTCACTGGCTATCTGTAACCTCTTCTCTTGCAGACATTACAGCACGCCACGCTGCTTAAAACTGTTATACAGCCTTTAAACTCGCAGGCAGTAAGTACAGCCTTAACTCTGCTGGAGAGAAAGAGATTCCATTTTTTTTTGCTGAAAACGGGCTCCGACCAAAATCTCACCACCCTCTCACCTATGAGGATGAGCCTAAACCCCCGGGAAGCTCCTCAAAGGTGGTGCCGTAGTCTCAGAGAATTACAACAACATCCGGACCCGAGAGCCACAACCAAGACGCCGGTGGCTGTGCACGCGAAGCCGGGTGTCCAGCAGAAAGCCCTTCTTCGCGCGGCTCTCCGCGCTCCGGGTGCGAGACTCCAGCCCGGCTTCTAGGCCACGACTGGGTGAACACCTGACGTGGGGGGAGGGCGAGCCAAAGCCCTGGCGGATCTGGGGCGAGGAGCTAAGGCTCTCGCGGCTCCAGAGCAGGAGCGCTGCCCTCCCGAGGCGGGGGTCCCGGGGCACCCCCAGGGGAAAGCACCTATCAGCACATGTGGGGCGACAGGAGCGGGCAAGCGGTGTTCCGGACAGGCAGCCTGAATCTGGCACGGAGACCGGAAAAAAGAGGACGGAGCTACCCCAGGCAGAGAACGAGGGCTTCCGAGTCCGGAGGGTGAAGGCAAAGGGCGCGAGGAGAGGGAGAGAGGCCACGAGGAGGGCGGGTCTCCCTGGGCGCGGGGGCACGCGTCGGGCAAGCCCAGCGGGACCCGGGGAGCAGAGGACCCCGACTCGCCAGAGGACAGCCCAGCCCTGCCCCCGGGGCGCGGGGAAAGAAGAGCGACCGCGCCCGGAGGGCCTTGTGCCCGCGGCCGCCCGGACCGGACCCGCCCCGCGGCGCCTCCCTCCAGCCTCTTTTCCCTCCCTCGCTCCCTCCCACCAGCGGCCCGTTATCACGCGGCCACCGCACTCACCAGCGGCTGCACCTGAGCCCGCCGCTGCCTCAACTGCTGCCTGCGCCTCCTCAGTTGCCGCCGCCGCCTCGCTGCTGAGGCCGAGTCCCGGGGGAGCCTCCTCGTCCCGCCGCCGCTGCCGCCTGAGCAGAACACCCCAAAATGGCGGCACTTCCGGCACCTACCACCGGCGGGGAGGGCCGAGGAGGCGGGGGAGGGCGGCGAGGGGGAACGTACCACCGCGGTGCCGCCCGCAGCGCAGATCTGAGCGGAACGCAGCGCGGTGCAAGGGGCGGGCCTGGGGCTTGGCGCCCGGCGCCGCAGCGCCCCCTCGGGCTGGGGACTGGAGAAGCAACGGCACCGAAATCCCCCGGACCGCGGGGAGCCTCAGCCTCGGGAGCTGCAGGGCCGCATCTCTTTGTCTCCGACTTACTCCGGAGGGAAAAATGGGAAGATTCCTGCCTGAGAACCTGGAGTTCTCGGCTCTGCGTACCGCTCTGGATGACCTGGTGGGCAACAACCCCTGCTTGGCACTGAATATGCGCATAATAAATATTTGATGAATGAACGAATGAGTTGAATGGAATGGTGTGCTTGGCCAGCCTTGGACACACCCTCCCCTCTGCCCCTCCAGACTAGCAGCAGGGTCCGGACCTTCTTCGCTTAGCTGTGGAATGTGAATGTGTTGCAAGCTTTCAAAATGAGGGAAATGTTTTCTAACGGGATGATCCATTTGTGAACGCACAATCTTGCCAAAATCCTGCAGCTCCAGGAAGCTCATAAGGGCTCAATGGATGGCCCAGCCCTAAACTGCTTTGGGGGGGGGGGGGCGGCCAGTGAGGGGGTTCTAAACAAACCCAGGTTAAGACCTTAAAGACCTCCTTCAGAGTGACTCAGGAATCCTGAATCTAGGTGAAATGCAAACAGTACAGTAGTTGTTGTTTTTTTAAGGCTCACGTCGTTTATTCCTCAAGTTCTACACCTTGTGGGACCGTGAAATACAGTTAGAAAAAATAAAACTTAGCTCTGTGACCTTTTGGCCCCAGAACATACAAACAATTTATGGGTTTGCAAATAATTTTTCTGTAACATCGTCTGGCTTCCTTGAGTAAATATTCTTCTACCCACAAACACTGATTATACCCTACCTTACCACACAAAAACAAGTGGACTCCCAAGCAGAAACCTCAAGGGTTTTCCTATGTGTTGGAAGCAACTCTTTCCTCCATAGGGGAGAAAAAAAATAATCACAGTTTTTGTGGTACTATACAGACTGGAACAATTAACCTCTAAGTTGTACACTGTCATATTTCCTAACTGTATTGTATAGTTTATCATTTTATATACATTTATTATGTCAATATATGGCCATATTAATAGTTTTATGTGTAATTTACTGAAAACATCCTATATTTATAGACCATTATAGCTCGTAGAAAATATACATTACCACAATTTTATTTTATTTATTTTTACTATAAATGGGATATTTATTTGTCAGCATTAAATGTCTGATTTTTAAAAAATATTTTATTGATTTATTTTTAGAGATAGGGGATGGGAAGGAGAAAGAGTGGGAGACAAACATCAGTGTTTCCTCTCATGTGCGGTTGCCTCTCATGTGTCCCCTACTGGGGACCTGGCCTGCAACCCAGGCATGTGCCCTGACTGGGAATCGAACCGCGATTGTTTGGTTCACAGGCCCGCGCTCAATCCACTGAGCTACACCAGCCAGGGCTAAATGTCTGATTTTTAAAAATTGTACATTTATTAAAGCTGGGAACAGTGAAACAAGGAAAAGTTTAGGATAGAAGGAGCAATAGGAGAGAGCCTGGGTGGGGCTGCTTTGGCTCTCCAGAATGCTGTAGGAAAGAAGTGAGTGAAGGCACTGAAAAGTCAGAAAAAGGGGGCCTTGGAGGCAGCTTCAGGGGGTTAGCCTGAGCCAGGCTGCTGCTGTCCACTGTCCCCCTGGTTGCAAGTCTCATGAAGAACTTTAGAGTTTAGGGGAGAAAAGTAAAGATGCACACCTGAAAGGAGAGCACTAAAGCTCTGAATTTTAAACAAATTCTTGGACTGGGAGCTCATGTCCATTAGCTCGTTCAAATTTAGCACCTGTCTCATCCCCAGTAGCCATTCCAGAACTGCAACCCTCACCACAAAGCAACATGAGTTTTCTCAATTCAAATTTGGATTTCTTCAGCATTTTGGCTTTCCTAACAAAGACATCATGAAGCAGATACACAGATTGGCAAGCCTTTTCTGTGTCTTTTCCAATGCTATCTGGGATCAATTTATTGACCGCTACTTTCAACTCATTTGTCCACACCTCGCAAGTCATAACTTCTATCATCTTCTTCTGGATTTGGCAGACCCGTTGATGCTGAGCAAAAGAAGTCTTTGAATCTGATTATTGCTTTTTTTTTTTTGTAAAAGCAACACAGAACAGATGAAGGAAATGACCACCAGTAGTTTTGACATCAACATGAGCTTCAGTCACAGTCTGCCATTTTTTTACTGTGGAGCACATTTTGTCATGGGTAAAATCCATGCTATGGAAACTAGGCAGGCAGTTTTTGCCCTGAACATCCTCAGTAATTAGCTTGAATTTTCTAAATGCAACTTCTTAATTCTGCAGGTCAGCTAGGCTCCCTTCAAAAATATGACACTTGAGAGCATCAGATTTTACTTTAGTTGCTTGTCTTCTCATGTCCAGTGTTTCTCCAATTTTACATTGAACATAGCTTATGCTTTGACATCATACTAATCTTCTTAGAAAATCAATCAGCCACTTTCTTTTGGCTCCCTTTTTGCCACCTTTCATAATGTATCTGTACTTGCTCACCACCGTGGTGCTACTCAGAGAGCCAAAAAAACACCACAATGAACTTTATATTTGCCTCCCAGCTACCACAGATTGTAGAAACCTATAAACAGAGAATCTGTCCCACCTTTTTGTAAGCCACAGATTCATACAGATATCCATGCGGCTCTCTTCCTCACCTTCTTGGGCCTTTCCTGGTGACTTTATTTAAAATTTCACACACATATACCCATGCTTCCCATCCCCCTTTCCCTGCTTTGTTTTTATCCAAAGCACTTATCACCATCTAACATAGTACACTCTGTACTTCATATTTGTGAACCCTGAAAGAGAAGATCACTACTAAAAAGGGCTGCTGGTGGCTACATGCAATCAAATGAAAAAAAAAACACACAAAAAATCCCACAAACCTAGCAGCCATTTCTACACAGAGGCCTCTCATGTAAACTGCACTTTAGGGGACAGACTGCAGTGAACTACCTGCCTCTGCACTGAGCTGCCTCCATACACTGTATTTCTGCCATCTGAGCCAACCCTTAAATAAGGAGTTTCTGGAATCCTCTTTCAACCAATAGGACTGAAGTTTTCCCCATCCAATTGGAGCTGTGTAGCTATATCTACCCCTCCCTATCAAAATCTTCACCAACCAATTGAGCAGATCGACTCTGACCAATCAGGACAGTACATTTTGAACCAATCAAACTTTGATGATTTGAAGTCCTCATTTACATGAAGATGGACCAATCAGGGACCAGGGATGGGGACCTCTGTCTAAGCCAGCTCCCCTCCGGCTTTAAGAGTGCACTTTCCCGCTCTAAGGAAGGCTACAGTTTTCTGGCTGGCCTGCATAGGCAAGAGCAAACTGGCCCAAACAGAGCAGACCAGAGCAGATCAAAGCAGAGGAATAGGGCAGAGCTGTCTGGCCAGAGAGGGGCTTGGTCCCAGGGCTGCCTCACAGCTGTGCTATTTTCACAGCTGTCCAGTATCACAATTGAGCTGTTTTGAAATAGGTAATGTTTCCTTCTTCACCACACCCCAAATTGGGGATTTCTGTTAGCATTAAATTGGCACTATCAACCATCAATTAATATATTCTATCAGAAGGCGAGGGAACTCTATGGGAATAGGGATTTTTATCTGCTTTTTGTCAGGGCCTAGAATAATACCTGACCCATAATAGGTGCTCAATAAATACTGTTTGTATATTTGATTTATAAAATATATAAATCAAAAAATATATACCACAATAAATATACCTAACATTCATTATCTCATATAGATTTAAAATGGACGAATTGCACAGACATAATATTGAGCAAAACAAGCAGAGTAAAAGAGCACATTTATATGAGTCTGTTTAGTTGAACTCTGAGAACAGGCAAAAGCAGGAAGAAACCCTGGCTGGTGTAGCTCAGTGGATTGAGTGCGAGCCTGGGAACCTCACGATCGCGGTTCGATTCCCAGTCAGGGCACATGCCTGGGTTGCAGGCCAGTTCTCAGCAGGGGACGCACGAAAGGCAACCATACATTGATGTTTCTCTCCCTCTCTCCTTCCCCCCTTCCCCTCTAAAGATAAATAAAATCTTAAAAAAAAAAAAAGCAGGAAGAAAAAATCAGGACAGAGGTTACCTTTGCGGGGGGAAGGGTATTGATGAACTGTAGGGAACATGAGGGAGCTTTCTGGAGTACCGAAATATTTCATCTTAGTCTACGTGGTGGTCACCCAGGTATATGGAAATGTACAATTCATCAAGCCATGCCCTCAGCATCTGTGCACTTCGTATAGCCAGAAGGAGTAGCACCAATTTGTTAGACAAATGGTCAAAGGAAATGAACCTGCAATTCACAGGAAGAATATGAATGGAATGGCCAATAAAGAGAAGATGTTTGATCTCAGCTCACAAATAATTAAATATATTAAAAAGAAAACAAAGTGATTTTTTTTTTTTACTGTCGGGTGGGGAGCTAAATTAAGCAATTAAAATGTAAAGGTTGATGAAGTGAGAAACAGGCCCTCTCGGTGTGTACAAGTACAGCCATCGTGGAGGGAAGTTGAACAATTATCATTAAAATAAAAAATATTGCCATCTTTTATGTAAAATTCCATAAAATGCTAATTAATCTCTAGTAGATGGGTGGTCGCCAGGGAATGGGGTGTGAGAAGACAGAGGCGCGGGGGGAAGAAGTTACAAAGGGCCGTGAGAAACTTTTGGAGGTGATGGATATGTCTCATTATCTTCATCGTGGTGATGGTTTCACAAGTGTATACACATGTGACAATGTATTAAAATGTATACTTCAAATGTGTGTAGTATATGTCAGTTATACTCGACAAAACTATAGAAAGTTCTCCATGACCTCTTAAAAATATGCTCATATTTTTTAATAAAGAAATTGTGTTCTAGAAATGTTTCCTTCAGAAACATAGGTGGGCAAAGCATATACAAAGGCATTTTATAATTTAGCCAGATAGTATTAATTGAATGACAGCCATTTCAGACACTGGGATAGACAATGGAGTTATAAATAGAGGTAGGATCTCTGCTGTCATGGAACTGACTATATTTGTTACTGGTTTAAAAAAAAATGCTCTGAGCCCTGGCTGGTGTAGCTCAGTGGATTGAGCGTGGGCCTGTGAACCACATGATCTCGGTTCGATTCCCAGTCAGGGCACATGCCTGGGTTGCAGGCCAGTTCCCAGCAGGGGGACTCACGAGAGGCAACCATACATTGATATTTCTCTCCTTCTCTCCTTCCCTTCCTCTCTAAAGATAAATAAATAAAATATTAAAAAAAAAAAAAAGAAATCCTTAAAAAAAAAATGCTTTGGATCGTGTGGCTCAGTGGATTGAGTGCCAGCCTGTGAACCAAAGGGTGGCTAGTTCAATTCCCAATCAGGGTACATGTCTGGATTGCGGGCCAGGTCCCCAGTAGGGGGGCACTCAAGAGGTTACCACACACTAATGTTTCTCTCCCTCTTTCTCCCTCCCTTTCCCCATCTAAAACTAAATAAAATAAATCTGTTTTTAAAACCAAGAAACAGCTAAGGGAAGAGATACGTTCTCTTGCAGGAGGTAAATACGGGGAGGAGTTTGGGAAGGACCAATGACAAACGAGAAAGTGCTGGCAGCAGTTGCGTCCCTGGTGACGCCTGTTTCCATCCGCCCACTTGCCCTTTCCGAAGTTTGTTGTGTGAGTTATAGATTACCCTTTTCACCCAGGCTCATTAAGAGTTGGGCTTCAGAACCCAAGTGTTCATCGATGAATGAATGCATAAACAAAATGTGATATATGAGGTCTCTCCAGAAGGCATCCGACCATGTACTATGAAAAACAGAGACATTTATTGAAGAAGATACAAGATACAAGAAACATTGTACATAGGATAGTGACGCCTCAGTCCCCTTCCAAGTAGGTGCCTTGGGACCTCACAGAGTTCTCCCAATCACCATCAGCTACCCTGTTGTATTTTCCTGAATCTCACTGACCATCTAAAATCTCTTCCTTTTCAAAGGTGATTTTTAGTTTTGGAAAAAGCCAGAAGTTGCAGGGTGTCATATCTGGACTGTAGGCAGTTGAGTCACCTGGGTGATTTGATGTTTCACCAAAAAAACTCTGCAAGTTGTGAGGAATGAGCAGGCACATTGTTCTGATGAAGGTGCCAATAGCCAGTTGCCCATAGCTATGGCATTCTGAATCATCTGAACAGTTTCCATGGAGGAATGTCCATGCTTAATGCAAAATTTGATGTTGCTCTCCTTGCTCAGTCATTCTGAATGTGACAGTCACACAGTGCACACGCTCACTCAATGGTGTTTACCACTCCCAGTCACTAATGCAGCAGAGTCTTCATTGTTCACGCATGCGCAATCCAGCGCACTCTCCTTGGCTGCCAGGTTACATCAATGTCACTCAAGCCATTCTCATATTATCAATGCCTGGACTTTTTCTGGACAAACCTTGTATACATACAATGGTATGTTGCTCGGCCTTAAAAGGGGAAGGAAATTCTGACATCTACAAAATGGATGAATCTTTGAGTACATGATGCTAAGTGAAATAAGCTACAAAAGGCCATATTCTATATTATTCCATGTATATGAGGTACCTAGACTAGTAGTCACAGTGACAAAAAATAGAATAGTGCTTTCCATGAGTGTCAGGAGTGTCAGGCTGTCATGTCTCTAGGACTCCCTAATTTGAGGCAGCCTCTCTCCCATTCTTTTCTTCATGCTTTGACTTGATAAGTTGGGTTTGGGTTTGTTTTTGTTTTTTTTTTTTTACTAGGGAGATAAAGGAGGAAGGAGAAAGAAACATAGATTTATTGTTCCACTTATTTATGCATTCATTGGTTGCTTCTGGTATGTGCCCCGACCAGGGATTGAACCTCACAACTTGGGCGTGTGGGGACAATGCTCTAACCAAGTTACCTGGCCAGGGCTGAGTCAGTTGTGTCTGAAAAACGTCACATATTCTGGATTTGCCTGTTTCTCCCCCATGATGAGATTTAATTTATCCCTCTATCACCTATATTTCCTGTAAACGAAAGTTGGCCTGCTGGTGTGGTTCAGTGGAATGAGCACTGGCCTGCAAACTGCAAGGTTGCAGGTTTGATTCCTGGGGCACTTACCTGGGTTGCTGGCTGGGGCCCAGTTGGGGGTGTGCCGGAGGCAACTAGTCAAAGCTTCTCTCACACATTGTTGTTTCTCTCCCTTTCTTTCTCCCTCCCTTCCTCTCCCTCAAAATGAAAAAACAAGATCTTTAAAGACAGGTCTCAAGGCCTGGTTAAATCCAGTTTCAAGTTTTTTGAGGTCAGTGCTGCAAACATCACGCAGCATCATTTCTGGAGGCCAATGACGTCAGGTTGTCCTGCTTTCCTCCAAGTGGAGATTAATTGGTTTAGGTGGCCTCAGCTCGATCCTTCTACGGGAGCTTCCTACCAGTATTTCATCTCATGCTTTTATCCATTGATGACCATCGACAGCATCAACTGTTTCACCAGGGATTGCAAAACGATGAGTTCTGAATTTTATCATTCCTTCCACATGTATTAGCTGGAATGCAAAATACTGAGTTTCTAGTTTTATTATTTCTCCCACATTTATTAACAGGAAGTATGCTGTAGAGAAGAACTTTCTCTCCTCAACTAGGGATATTTGGTTATCCCAAAACACAGTTCATACAGGAAAGGCAAGAGAAGAGAGGGCAGCAACCCTTGCTGGGGTCACTGACTGAGGTATCCTGAGGGCTGGAATATTGTCTGGAAAATGGAGGCCACTCAATAAGCATTTTTAAAACCCAACTGAGCCCTGGCTAGTGTAGCTCAGTGGATTGAGCGCAGGCCTGAGAACCACATGATCGCGGTTTGATTCCCAATCAGGGCACACGCCTGGGTTGCAGGCCAGTTCCCAGCAGGAGACTCACGAGAGGCAACCATACATTGATATTTCTCTCCTTCTCTCCTTCCCTTCCTCTCTAAAGATAAATAAATAAATAATTGTTTAAATTACTTAAAAAAAAACCAACTGAAAGCCATATATTGGAATACTGTGTAACTCTTTGAAAAGAATAAAGCAAATATGTATCCATCTGTGTTGACATGGCATGATACTCATATTGTTGAGTGGAAAAGGTCACAGAACAGTAAATAATATGATCTTTCAACTTTTATAAAAAATGTATATTTTAAATGTATCAAAAATAGGATAGAATAGAGGGCTAATCCGTTTTGAAAAGAAGCAATAGCCCTGGGAGGGTAGCACAGCTGGTTACAGCATCATCTCCATACAGCAAGGTTGCTGTTCCATCCCCAGTCCGGGCACACACAGGAATCCACCAATGAATGCATAAACAATCGGAACAACAAATCAGTCTCTCTCTCTCTCTCTCTCTCAAATCAATTTGAAAAAGAAAAAAAGAAACAGTAGCCTCAGCCACCGTGCTTCAGTTGGTTGGGCGGAGTCCTGCAGAGCAAAACGCCACTGGTTAGATTGTGGTCAGGGCACATACCTGGGGTGCAGTTCGTCCACCTACTGGTGCCCTTAGGGCCCCAGAGACACCCTATCAATGTTCCCCTCAGGCATCGATGTTTCTCTCCCTCTCTTTCTCCCTCCCTTCTCCTCTCTCTAAAAATAAAATAATACATATTATTTATTTATTTCAAAATACATTTTTAAGAGCACCAGATGCAGCTCTGGCTGGTGTGGCTCAGTGGATTGAGCACTACTAGCCTGTAACTGAAAGGTCACTGGTTCCATTCCCAGTCAGGGCACAGCCCTGGGTTGCCGGCCAGGTCCCCAGGTGGGAACCTGTGAGAGGCAACTGATCTCTCTCCCTCTCTTCCTCCCTTCTCTCTCTACAAATAAATAAAAGCACCAGATGCATATCTCAACTATTTAAGTGTAAAAAACAAGCATTACAACCATTCCTCTTACCACTTTGTAAGTTGTGGGTTTTTATATTTAAGCATATAGTTTTCTTTCCTTTTTTTCTTTTTAAAAAAGATTTTATTTTGCGGGACGATAACCAACTAACTGAGCCACATTGATCAGGGCATATTATTTTTCTTAACAATATATTAATGTACTTTCACAATATATTATAGATATTACATTTTTTCCATAGTACAGGGTTGGGTCAGGAGGAGGGAGCCATAACTTAGGTGGACAGTGAAGGGGACTATCAGCCCAGGCTGCCCCTTTGTCCAGGATCTGGCCCTCTCCACCAAGGCAGCCCTTTGCTCAAAAGCTCCAAGCCCCTTCTGCTCACCCGTTCAGGGCTACCCCTATCACAGAGGCTCTTCAGGGTCTCACCGTTGGCTCAGGTGCGGTTACACGCTCACCTGGGGTCAGAGCCCTCTCCGTCCCGCTGTGGTTGGGGAGGGTCACAGTTCCACAGGCCTTTGGCTGCGACCCCACCTCCCTCGGCCCGGATTCCACACGGAGGGGTCAGAGGCCCCCTCACCTGGGGTCACAGCCCCCTCCCTTGGAGGGAGGCTCAACGACCACAGGCGTGGGTCCCAGTTTGACACGCAGTATAGGTACAGGCCTCTCTGCCCAACGTGCCCTCCCTGGGCCCCAGCTTTAGCTCCCCGCCCCCGGAGCCCTAGTCCCTCCCCCGAGGCTCGCAGCCCCGCCTCTGGACCCATGCAGAGGGTCCCAGGATCCCCGGAATCCCAGGCGGAGGTCCGGAGCGCCACGCCAAAGGTTTCGGCGCCCGAAAGGCCAGCGCGGACCGCGTCGCCTCCGCAGGAGACCTCGGATGACTCGCGGCCCGCGTCCCCGTCGCCCTCCTGGCTCTCCGAGCGGCCGCCGACCGCGAGCGCCGCTGGGGACGGGTTGCTGCTGCGCCAGGCCGCGTGGGGCAGGATGGCGTCCCGCACGTTGCTGGAGGCCGGCCTGGCTCGGGTGCTCTTCTACCCGACGCTGCTGTACACGCTGTTCCGCGGGAAGGTGCGGGGCCCGGCACACCGCGACTGGTACAACCGCATCGACCGCACGGTGCTGCTGGGCGCGCTGCCGCTGCGGAGCATGACGCACGAGGTGAGCCGGGCCGGGAGGCCGGGCAGCGTCGGGCCTGGGAGCCGGGTGAGCGCCGCCCCGGCCTTGGCCACTGGTTTGAGCCCCCTCTTTACCTCGGCAGCTGGTAGAGGACGAGAACGTGCGCGGGGTGATCACCATGAACGAGGAGTATGAAACCAGATTCCTGTGCAACTCCGCCAAGGTGAGGGGTCTGGGTCCGGCGGGCAGCTGCAGCCCGCCCGGAGCGCTAGAGGAAGCTGGACGAGGGGCGCTGCAGGTGACCGTGATCTGGACCCTGGTGTCCCAGGCTTTTTTTTTTGCCTCCTCAGGAGGAGGGTCCAGTACTCGAAGCTTAAATGGCTTTGGCTGAAGGTAGAAACTAATTGTGAAACAGAAACTGTTGTTACAGGCGTTTAAAAGTAGAGTGGACAAAGTGATTATGGCTTTGTGCACAAATGTAGTCTTAATTTCGGTAGGAAGTAAGAGTTAAGGATCAGGAAGTAAATTTGAAAGGCAACTTTTCTTTGGCTTGCTGACTCCATTCAACACTGACTGAGCACTAAGTGTGGATGAGGCACTGCCCTAGGCATTCAAGATGAAGGCCCTTTGAACTCTTAAGAAAAGCCCCCCCTCCCCCAGAGTAAATTTATCATGGAACGACCCATTGAAAAACTGCATCGGGTTCATTTGAGGGAGTTTTTATTCACGCTAGAGATTTAGTGGAATTCCAAAATACTGTCATAATGAAGTTCAGCCCTAAAACATAATTTTCATTAAATGTGAATGCCAGTTTGTGCAACTCTCCCCAATGGTTATTGGACATTGCTCTATCCTCGGATAAAAACGTTGCCCTATCTTACAGTGTTGCACATCTACTAGCCTTACTTAGACGATTGTCCTTCTTGTTTACTGTGTTAATATGGGGAAGATGCTGTAATTTCAACCCGTGGATTTTTTTTGAAATCTTAACAATATTTGTGACTCATTTAAAATATTTTGATTAGTGATGGCATACATTTTTAAGGAATGGAGGACAGTTCCTTGGATTTCCCAAAGTACTTTGCCACAAAGCCTCAGGAGCTGTTTAGCCAGAATCGTAAATGTTCATTAGTGTGCGCAGTCCTGTGGAGCAAGAGCAGCCGCAAAAAAGTGCTTGTTGTCTTGCATGTGTGGCATTTGACATTTGTATGACTTCGCTGTACTATCCCGTTAGCCTAGAAAAGAAATCTCCAAGGCAGGCAGTGGTTCTCACATTGTAGTGTGTCTAAGGGTGATCTGGCAGACTTGTTACAATGTCAGATTCCTAGGTACAAGCCCCAGACATTCTGACTCAAAACTTCAGAGTGGATCCCGGGAATCTGAATATTGAGTAAGCTCCCTGGGGGTTTCTGGTGTCATTGAAGCATAAGCCACCTGCTGCAAAACTGCTGTTTGTTAATTTCATCAGCACTACTGACCTTCATTCAGAGTCCTCAAGTCTCTGCTTCTAGCTAAAGAGATTAATAATGAGTATCTGGAGCCTATCGGAAGTCTTAAAGTAAAAAAAAAAAAAGTGTCCCTGTTTGCCAGAGACCTTTTATCTCCTATTTCTGATTCTTTTTTTTTTCTTTGCAAATTGATAATATGCTACAGCAAAGGTAGGTGCATTGTTTTAATTTAAAAATAACTATTTTCTACCATGTACCCTCTCAAGAAAAAAGTGGTAAAAACAAGACTTACTCGAAGACAAATAGAAAGCTCTTTCAAAATACAGTAGCCTGACCCCACGGCTAGGTCACTGAACAAGATTATGCCAAGATTATGCAAAAATGTAGCTGCCAACTTTTGTAGATGAATTTTTTACAGCTAAAAATGCAAACACCCAAAGGGCACTTTAGGAACATTTTAAATCTGGGACATAATTCTAACTCAGCAGCACAGCTATTGTTTGATGATAGACTAACCGTCCAGGTCAGCTATTTAAAAACGTATTTCTAAGACACACACACAGAAAGAAAATAAAAAATATTGCTATGAACAATTTCTCATTTAGAAGACAGTAAACAGCATATTCACATTGAAGTAAATCCTGAGGCTTCCTTGTTGTTCTGCTGCCTTTCCGGAGCCCGACTTCCTACTATTAACACCTGGCTTTCTCTCTCCGTTTATGCTGCTGGTGGACCTGCTTTCAGGAGTGGAGGAAAGTGGGAGTTGAGCAGCTGCGACTCAGCACGATAGACATGACTGGAATCCCAACCTTGGCTAACCTCCAGAAAGGAGTTCAGTTTGCTCTCAAGTACCAGTCGCTGGGCCAGAGTGTCTACGTGCATTGTAAGGCCGGGCGCTCCAGAAGTGCCACGATGGTGGCAGCGTATCTGATTCAGGTAGGAAAGGTCTTTCTGCACTGGTCCCACTTACAGTGGATTCCCAGAACTTCAGGAGCATAGTCTATAGATGGGGCTTGCCGGAGAGAGCCTTGTCCCGGGTTTCAGGCTGTTGGGAGGTAGAAAGCACCTGAGCTTTGTAGGTAGGCTGATCTGTGGTTTTGCCACCTGCCAACTCTGCAACCTTAGGCCAAAGTGGCTTCTTTCTCCGATGCTGTTTCCTCACATTAAGTTACAAAGGATCTTACCACCAGCTAAAGGCTAGGAACACTTGTTATGAATAGCATGCCAGGAAGTCTAGTACTGTAAATAGTGCTGATCACTTACAGCTCTGTAGTACTCAGATTTCTTTGAATTCTGAAGTGTTTCAGAATATGGTTCTGGACATTAGTATCTAGTATCTAGAAATGGAGGATCCAGTGGAATGTGGCCTATCAATAGGTTATAATCAGGTGGGATACTTTTAAAATATTTAGAAGCCAACAACTCTTATTGCCCTGTTATGTACCCCCTGCCTGGCTCATTTTTGTTACCTATCTAGCCCCTGCAGAGCAGTTATTAAGTCACATGGGTAGTTTAAGGAAAAGGAAATGTAGAGATGACCAGCCTGGCCTTGTCTGTGTTCCTGTGAACTGATGAGCGTATGAGTTTGCGATATTGAAGCTTTGGTCACTGCTGGCCCGAAATGGGCTCCAGAGGATATTTTGGGCCGAGTGAGAATTGAACCAGCAGGCTAAAAATCCCTATTTTCTTGGTTCTGTTATGTTCTAAACCAGCAACTTTCTAGGACACAAAGATAACTCTCCCAGCCAGATTTTGAAAGTGCCGTTTTTCTAGCCATAGGAATGAGTTGCATAAAAACATCTCCTCTTTCCAGGAAACTTGTACCCAGGGAACCAACTCAGGGAGGACACCTTGTAGGACTAGGCAGCTTTGAATTTAGGATCTAAGCTTCACCTGTTCGACCTTTTGCCAGGGTTGGCAGATCAAGACTCAGGCAGAAAGTCTGACTTGTCCCCTCAGCCTGTTGCATAGTAATTTGGAACCGGCTCACGGAGGGCGCTGCAGTGCCCTCCCATTAATAATGTGTGGAACATGGTTTTAAACTCCCTCTCCCAGTGGATTTTTTTTTTTAAATGAAATTCTGGGAGCCCATCAGCACCTGTCATCAGGTCAAGGACACCATGCTTCTTTCTTTGCTGATTTCTCAACCCTGTACTGCAGGTGAACAACTGGAGCCCGGAGGAAGCAGTAGGGGCCATCACCAAGATCCGGTCACACATCCACATCAGACCCGGCCAGCTGGAAGTCCTTAAAGAGTTCCACAAGGAGATCACAGCGAGGGCAGCAAAGGATAAGATGCTTCCTACATCAGACATGAAGTATGTGGGCTAGAAAGAGCTCAAGAAAACCCTGCTGGCAATAGGATGAAAAAGTTTAATGGGACCCATGGGGCTTAAGCCTGGGCGGCGTAATAGAAGTGTGCTGAATGATGGGTAATTTTGCTCCCTTCGTCCTGTTTCATTTTCCTGCACACGGGTTCCAGTGTTCCATCGTATGGCTGGGAAGATTGAGCATGGCTTCCATTCACAGGGCTTGGGGATACAGGATAGGGATGGGGATATCTTAGTTTTCGGAACAGGGTCAAAGAAACCGATTGTGCACTCCATGTTGTATCTAATGATACTAGAACCACAACCCAAAGGCATTTACCACCAGGAAAAGGGGGGAAACACTCAGCTCTGGCCAGACTCCCCGTTCACTGGCCCCCACTTTTGGAGCAGTGACCTGGGTATAAAAAGGAAACATGGGGTGCAGTCAGGACCGTGGCTACTTAGAACTGTGTGCGCATGTGATCAGCTTCCCTGAGAAAGTCACCCTTTCAGAATTCAAATCAGACATACACAGCCCTTGAAAACTTTTATTGGTATGAACAGTTCCTAGCTCTTGATGGGGCTTAGAACTTTTAAGAGTAGAGACCTTATCTATTGAAGTTTCAAAAAATGTTTCTGCTGTTTATCAGAAATAATCCTTTCTACTTTTTTCTGGCCTATTCTTTAGAGTAAGCCAGAAATCAAACCAAAGTATACGTTTCCTGACTGACAGTTGAGAAAACAATAGACAGAACGTCCAGGAGTCTAGAGACGGTTGTCATTGACTCCTGCTGGTGAAGGACACCTTCAGCTGTGTTCTTTCTCCCAACCAAAGCCTGAAGGAAAACTCTTAACACTTAATTCTCTGTGAAAAAATTATCAAGCAGCCATTTCACAGGCTACCAAAAAAAGGGAGATCGGGTATCTTTCCTTTTGTCTGGGGTCAGGGGTGCTTCTATTTAACCTTCATCGGGTCCAGAGGGGAGGCTGTACCAGACATCTGAGAAGATGCTTGCGCTAAGTGGTCCACGTGAGGCACAGCATTTCCCTGGGACGGCAGAGGACCGGCTGACCTTGGCTCAAGCAGCCAGCTGAACAGCAGCAGTCTAGAAAGCCCCAAAAGGGCTACCCCTGTGGGTTCAGGGAAGGGCTGAGTGCTGCCTTTGGAATACGTGCCAATCAATAACAGTACTCTGAATTGAGACCTGGGGGACTTTGGAGTTTGGATGGGTAGGTGCTGGAAAAGGGGAGGACAAAAGTCAGCTGCTCTTCCCACCACAGCCTTAGGCCAACACAAACTGCAAATTAGTGAGCAGCACCTTAATGCCTCTGGTGACAGTTATTGTTGAGGTGGCAGGGTCAAGCTTGTAGGTATTGGCATCTCCCTTTTTATATCGGTCCCGAAAAACGTAAATGCTCCCATTACAGCTGGCGATCTTCCAGAGGGACGGGGCAGAGCTCCAGGCCTCGGGAAGACAGAGCCGGGTAAAGCTGTCTAGCAGCGGATTGTAGCACACCAGGGAGTCCCCTTCAGCCACGATGAACACCAGATCCTTATGCACAGCCGCATGCATGCGGCCTGCGAAGGGCAGCACATACGGCTTCACATGGCACTTGTCTGTCTCTGTATCAAAGCACTGGATGAGCCGGGAAGGTTTGGTAAAGAAGTCCAGGTCGTTCTCTTCCCCGCCTAGTAAGTAGATGATCCCATTGAGGTTGGCTCCGGCAGCCCCCGACACAGCCACCTCGAGCTGCGTTGTCTCAGTCCAGACGTTATCGCCCACCCGGTAGTAGATGACTGCGTTGGAGAGGGTGTCCTGCAGTGTCTTGCCGCCAAGTGAATAGATGGCATCTTTCCCGGGCACAGACACCAGAGTGTGCTGGAGCCGGTCCCGGGGCAAGGGTGCACACCACTCCCAGTCCACGGTGGCATTGTTACACTTCCACATGCGCCGTGGGATGGACCCTCCCACCACGTACAGGTCTCCGCCATGCTTGCAGGCTGCAGTGATCTGGTGGCACAAGCTGTTTTGGCCACTTACACTGATGGAGTCATCTTCTGCGCAGTGCAAGGATACAGCCAAAGAGTGAGTACGAGATGACTCTTTCCCGATCAGATAAATGTGCACATTCTCCCCAATTTCCTATTGGGAAAATTTAAATTATAAATGGTACCTATCAGCTCTGCACCAAGACTCAGCTGAGAGACACAGCCTTAAGGCCCTGGGCCACGTACTTGTATTTTGCTATAATCTACTCCCTTCTAGTGTCACCCTGACTCTCCTCTAATCACTGTCTTTCAGGCATTTTAATGCTGGGGCAGGGAGTCTCTGGTGCACTCATGCTCTCCACTTTTTAGAGCTACCCTGACATGGTGATTCAGACAAAAGGTCCTTAAGACTGTTCTGCAATAATGGAAGTAGTTCTCTCAAGGAGCTTTTGGGTTCACACACATCCTCTTCCCTGGCTCCTACCAATCAAGCCAGGGATGACTTATTCACTAGTCATCAAAGAGGCCAGGCCAGCCCTGGCTGGTGTGGCTCAGTGGATTTAGTGCCAGGCTGTGAAATAGGGTCACCAGCTCAATACCCAGTCAGAGCACATGCCTGGGTTATGGGCCAGGTCCCCAGTACAGGCAACGTGAGAAGCAACCACACAGTGATGTTTCCCTCCCTACCCCTCTCTAAAAATACATAAATAAAATCACTTTTTTAAAAAAAGGCCAGGCCTATCAACAGGTGTATTGCATGGTTATTATAGTATCCTGACATTAAAGAAATCTGCCTTACCTTCAAGCTACTCCTGAGTGACTCTGCAAAAGCTTCTCTTTCCTCTTTATTAAAATTGATCCAGGCTTCTATTGCCTCTGTTGGGTTCTGGGAACATGGAACTCCATCTGTAAAGAACCAGAGGAAAGACATGGTCAATGGCACACTGGCAATCTGAAAGGGGGGTTTAGAGCCAGGGGCTTTAAAGGTGTGAACCACTTTGTTAGGCTACCAGCATGTATGTATGAGTACGTGAAGTTAATCTAAGATTGCCTTGTTTCTTTTAACCAAAATGCTGGTTTGCTGTACTCCCATTTGTCACGAAAGCAATCTGCTAGGCTGCAGAGCTCACACCTAAAGTATGGTTAGACCTGACCTGAGAGTCAGGACTGTTGCCTAAACTTGGCCCATCACTTCAAAAGTTTTTTAGATACCTTGATTCATCCTAAGTAAATCATAAGTTTACTTAGGTAACAGATACATGCAGAGTGCAGAATGGATGGGAACACTTAAACCCAGGGGAGATTAGAGTATAAATACAAATACTGCCCTGGCTGGTGTGGCTCAGTGAATTGAGCACTGTTTGACCTGTCAAAGGGTCACTGTTTCAATTCCCAGTCAGGGCACCTGCCTGGGTTGCAGGCCAGGTCCCTGGTGGGGGGCACATGAGAGGCAACCACACATTGATGTTTCTAACCCTTTCTTTCTCCCTGTCTAAAAATAAAATCTTAAAGAAAAAAATACTTCCTTGCTACCTTCTGTGGGTAAGTGCTGCTGCTTTTATTTTCCTGGAGCTTTCCTCAGAAAGGGACTCTGTCTCTGATAGCAGCTGTGCTAAACTGCAAGTCAGTTTCTCTCAGAAGGTTCTAAATTCCCACCAATAATACTGTAAACTAACACCGGGAAGCCTGAGGGTTCCTTTCTCTTGAACTAGAATATCCAGTGAGCATATCTAAGTAGCTGGGTACGGTGTGCCCTCTCCCTCAACTTACCAGAGATGATATCAGTGAGCAGATGGTGGGGTAAGTGGAGAAATTCCTCTGTGCCCTGCAGCTGGGCCAGATGGGCCTTGGCGCAGTGCTTGGCAGCAGTGTAGAGCTCAGGATCACTGTGTCGATCTGCCAACCACATCACCTGAAGGCAATTCCCCACCTGCACTGTGCGGGCCAAAAACCGAGAACATTCCTCAAAGAGAGATGTCAGCTGATACATGTCTGACACCTCATAAATTTCCTGCAGCTCATCAGCTCGAAGTTTCACAGTTCCATGGTAGATGTAATCAACCAGGAGCTGGAAAACAGACTCACTGACATCCTGCAGCACAATCACCCGGTTGTGGGCCTCCTTCAGGTTGGAAGTGAACATGGACCGGAAGAAGCAGCTCTGAGCTGAGAGGACCAGCCGGTGGAGCTGAAACTCCCGGCCTTCCACTGAAATGGTGACATCAGCAAAGAGCTCTTCCTCCAGACACAGTTTCATGATGCCCTGGGCCACACGGCCTGAGTGTGACCGATCTTTGAAAGTGTAGTTCACAAAGTAGTTCTCATCCATGGATGCTCCAGGCTCCTCCGGTGATTCCATGGTGGCCAGCTTCTCTCTCTGCCAGCTGTCTGCAAAGCAACACCACTCTCAGTAACTTGGGGAACCCACAGCCACGGTCTATGGATCAAGCAGTTAAAAACAAAGTGGGCCCAGACTGGTGTTTAGTCCTGGCCCTGCCCATAACATCTCTGATGATCCCCTACAACCACAGCTGGGTTCATTCTCCTGCAGTGGCATCCCATCCCTAATAAAATCAATAAAATTTCTTACTCTGGGTGTTTCCCTAAGAAAACATGGAATGTTCCTTTCGGTGATGTAACAAAAGGCCTGGTATTTTGGGTCAACGGATGAAAGCAAACGGCTGGAGAGATACCATGATCTTAAGAATCTGGCAAAGAGTCTTGCAAACCAAATATTGAATTAACTACTAGGTATAAAACTAGTGAGGCTCTAGAGAGCAGAAACAAAAAGGACGCCCAAGTCCTTGTGTGCGGGAAGAGCCCACCCCCAACCCCCTTCCCCACTTCCCCACGCGCAAGGAGACCAGACTACCCAATTCGAGGCTTGGCCGGGACATCTGTCAGCCCTATATATGCTCTTTTCTCAGCTTCTCCCCAGCACTTCCCCGCTCGCCCTAATGACTCCCCAAAGCTCCGTCCCAGAACTCGAGTCAGAGTCCAGTTGTCCACAGCCCGGGGCACAAGGAGGTCCACTGCCACGTGCTGTGTCGCCGCTTCACCAGGAGTCGCCTGGGAAACGGTCGCCGGGGAAACCTTTCCTCACCCCCACCAGGCCAGCCAGCCCCGCCAGCCCTTGTCAAAAG